GAGCGGTGTATTGCACGGAGGCTGGGTGTGCAATAGGGCGGGATGTCCCCAATGGTCTCTTCACTTGATTGGCGTCTGAGTCGGCTCCCTGGCTGATGGCCCCGGGGAGACTACAGCTACGGCGTGGCCCGCTGGGAAAATGTGGTGTGGGCAGCCAGGAGCTGCGCCTGGTTCCTCGCTTGTGGTTCAGTGGGTTGTTCTGTGTGGGACTCTGGAGTGAGTCACTGAGATTCTGCTGGGCTTTCGGTTCCCTTTTTACGGCTGTTCTGGAGTGTGGCCCCGCAAGGGCAGGGAGAGAGCTGTCACGCCAGGGCCAGGCATGTCGCCATTCTAGGGAACGCTGGGGCTTGGGCACCTCTTGTGATGTCCTTGTCCTCTGCACTGCAGACACGTCCTTCGTCTGGCTCTGGAGGTATTAACGCTTGGTGTCCTTTGCTGCTGCTGGCTCTAAGGCCAGGGGTGCAGCCAAGGTGCTAGACTGTGGGAGGAGTGTGGAGACACAGCTGTGTCCAGGTCTGCGGCATTAACTTTTTCCCTGCTAAAGCATGCTGGGAGGCAACATTGGGAAGCATTGTGCCCTGTGTACCTGGCAGGACTGAAGTGGCTGAGGCAGAAATGCCAAGCGATCGTAGGCTTGTCAACTGTACCGTGCTCTGCCCTGAGCTGTGGTGGACCCACAGGTCATTGTGACGGAGCCGAGATCAAACCCAGGCTGCAAGTCCAAGGTCTTAGGGACGTATAGTGGAACCTCAGCGTTACGAACACCTCAGGAATTACGAATCTCAGCGTTATGAATTGACCGGTCAACCACACACCCCATCTGGAACCAGAAGTACGCAATGAGGCAGCAGCACAGACCCCCAAAAAGCAAATCCAGGACAGTACTCTGTTAAACCTAAACTACTAACGAAAAAAGGGAAAGTTTAAAAAAAAAGAAGGAAGGAAGGAAACTGTTTCTTTGCTTGTTTCCTTTAAATTAAGATGGTTAAAAGCAGCATTTTTCTTCTGCATAAAAGTTTCAAAGCTGTACTAAGTCAATGTTCAGTTGTAAACTTTTGAAAGAACCAGTTTTGTTCAGAGTTACGAACATTTTGGAGTTACGAACACCCTCCCTTCCCGAGGTGTCTCTAACGCTGAGGTTCTATGTAGTTCACGGGACTGTACTGTCTTTGGGGTTTTTTGGGCTCTGCTGCTGCCAGATTGCGTACTTCCGGTTCCAGAATGGGGTGGGGGTGGCTGACCGGTCAGTTTGTAACTCGGGTGTTGGTCACTCTGAGGTGCTACTGTACTTGGGTGGCTGGCCCGTCCCTCTGCCGCCACGGAACATTGCTAGTTTTAGTATGCTCACTCCCTCAAAGCCAGTGCATGTCCGTCTACTCGAGCCACCAATCACATCTCCCAGCTGCAGGGCAGATGGACCCTTAGAGGCTGATGAGCCCTGTGGCTGAGGAATCCCGTCTGACTCCTCAGCCACAGGGCTCACCGGCCTCTGAGGGTCCATCTACCGCTGGACCTCTAAGGACCATGGACTTCTAAGGACCCGTCTACCTCTGCCGTGCTGGTACCGCAGTGCAGAAGGTGGAGCTTTGGGGAGGCAGGGCTGGCGAGTCAGGGGCGGGGAATCATGGGCTGATTTTCAGAAGAGCTGAGCACTCTCCCGTCCCTTTGAAGTCCATGGGAGCTTCAGGGGCTCAGTCTGTGGAAGCTGCAAGTGCTCAGACCTGCTGCTGATCGGGCCGTTAGCGCTTCCTGCTTAGTTTGACTCCACGGGGGCTTTGCCCCGGAGCCGCTTTGCAGACCCCCAGAGCCAGAGCTGACCCCGCATCTCATCCCGCGCGGTGTTGGGACATGCCGGGAATTCCATGAGCTGGGCCCTCTTAGGCAATGCAGTCTGGAGGCAAGCCGGGGTGTGCAGCTGTGCTTAATACCGGCCCTGGAGGCCTCTCCCGGTTGGTGAAGCAACACACACCCTTAGATCTCCAGGTCAGCAGTTCAAATCCTGCCGTGGGTCAGCAGTGAGTGGCAGTTGCTGTTGTGATGTCCCCACCCCGTGACTGGCCTCTCCTCGGCAGCCTGGGTGAAGCCTGGCTAAGTCAGGGAGATGGAGCTCAGCTCTCCAGATGAGGCAGGTGGGTGGAACGGGCTGTTCTGTACCTATCCTGTTCTGTACGGCAGAAAGGGATCTAGGGGTTATAGTGGACCACAAGCTAAATATGAGTCAACAGTGTGATGCTGTTGCAAAAAAACCAAACATGATTCTGGGATGCATTGAAAGGTGTGTTGTGAGTAAGACACGAGAAGTCATTCTTTTCTGCTCTACTCTACGCTGGTTAGGCCTCAACTGGAGTATTGTGTCCAGGTCTGGGCACCGCATTTCAAAAAAGATGTGGAGAAATTGGAGAGGGTCCAGAGAAGAGCAACAAGAATGATTAAAGGTCTTGAGAACATGACCTATGAAGGAAGGCTGAAAGAATTGGGTTTGTTTAATTTGGAAAAGAGAAGACTGAGAGGGGACATGATAGCAGTTTTCAGGTATCTAACAGGGTGTCATAAGGAGAAGGGAGAAAACTTGTTCACCTTAGGCTCTAAGGATAGAACAAGAAGCAATGGGCTTAAACTGCAGCAAGGGAGGTCTAGGTTGGACATTGGGAAAAAGTTCCTAACTGTCAGGGTGGTTAAACACTGGAATAAATTGCCTAGGGAGGTTGTGGAATCTCCATCTCTGGAGATATTTAAGAGTAGGTTAGATAAATGTCTATCAGGGATGGTCTAGACAGTATTTGGTCCTGCCATGAGGGCAGGGGACTGGACTAGATGACCTCTCGAGGTCCCTTCCAGTCCTAGAATCTATGAATCTATGAATCCTGCCATCAGTTCCCTAGGGCTGTGAGCCCGTCAGTCAGAAATCCACTTAACGCTCCCACCAGCCCACTTCTGGACCGAGAGGGACGGTTGATGCATTTGTAGATCTTTGGGCTCGTGAGTGGTGGCCCAGGAGTGATGATGATTATTTATCTCTGCCCGGTGTCCTGGCCACTTCCCAAACACTGAGGCTTTGTCTACACTGCCAATTGAATGACAAAACTTTTGTCGCTCACAGATGCTTTAAAAAGTTTTGCCGCAGCAAGTGGCCGTGTAAACGGCTCGTGGTTGGGAGGAGCGTTCTCCTGTCGACGACGCGAACCCCGCTTGTAGGGGGTGGAAGGGTTTTGTCGACAAACAGCGTTTACACAGCCCGACTCTAGCGACACGGCCGTGTGGCCAAAAGCTGTGTAGCGTAGACAAATTTGCTGTGCAGACCGACAAGTAGGGTGACCAGATGACCCGATTTTATAGGGACAGTCCCGATTTTTGGGTCTTTTTCTTATATAGGCTCCTATTACCCCCCACCCCCATCCCGATTTTTCACATTTGCTGTCTGGTCACCCTGCCGACAAGCTGCACTATGGCAGCAGGGCAGGGGCTGGCTTTCAGAAGGACGTACACGTGGGCAGGATGGGGGCCTGGCAGATGAGCGCAGGGAGTCGTGCGGAGCACAGGGGCTGTGTGGAAGAAGGCAGGGGGGTGCCTGTGTCCCGGGGCGGGCGAGATTGGGGGCTCTGGCAGAGTCGGGATGGGCAGCAGCGTGAAGCTTGGCTCGAGAGAGGCTGCTCAGGGAAGAGAAACGTTCCCGCATCTCGTGCGGAGACGAGGCCACGTAGCCCAGAGGGAGCTAGAGTAACATTTTTGGCAATCAGCTGTTTGGCCAGTGGTGGAAGCAGCCGCCTGTTGGAATAGATGAGGCTTGGCCTAATACGAACAGAGAGGGTGAGAGCATCCGAGGCCCCTTGGCCTTTTGAGGGTCCTCGGGGTGATCCCCGGCCCCTCCCTTGGCAGTCGGTCGTGGGTGGGTTTCCCCTGGTGCCGGCACAGAGTGACGGTCTCCGAGCTCTGTCTGCTGTGCACCCCTCAGCATGGCACCTCGGCATCGTTCGCTCTCCCCAGGCCTCACAACCACCAGCCCGAAGGAGCAGACCCGGCGTGGGGCCCCGGGGACCCAGGAGATGAGCCTGGAAGGCAGCAAGACACAGACTCTGCCTGCCCTCTGGGAGAGGCTCGTCCCACATACGAGGGGAGCGGGGGGCCCCATCAGTCCGGGTGTTCCCCGCTGATCACAGCTGTAATGCCAGGGTATAACAGGGTGGTCTGGCCCCTTTAAGAGTCATAGAGGGTGGGGCAGAGCTCCCCTCTCTCCCAGCCAGCACGGATGAGCCCTGGGACCAAGGATGGCTCCTAATGTGTCTCTGCTCCCAAGAGGAGAGAGATGAGCAGGGAAGGAAGCTGCCTCTGACCTCCCCCAGCCCAGGGAGGGGAAGACAAGCCGGTGTGAGGCTGCAGCCCCAGACTGCAGGAAGGAGGGCGGTGGGACACCTGCCCTGATGAGATGAAGGGCTGGGACTGTGGGGCTAGACAGTCTGCAGTTGGTCAGGGACTGAATAAATAAGACCCCACGAAAGGGGAATCTTATTGCAAGGATGCTGGTCCTAATGTCAATTATTGCAAAGCACCGGGGAGGGAAACTGAGGCAGAGCTGCTGTAGAGCCATCCCTGGCCACGAGGGGGTGCCCTGGAGGCAGCAGCCTGGCCACACCGAGTCTGGAGAGAGCTGACTCCCGGCCTGTTTAGGTGTTTGTAGAGGAGGGCTGGGCCATTGACTTGATCTTAGAACTGGCGTGGTTGGCGGTGACGATCAGGACGCACTGGGGAAACATCTCCTGCTTAGCAGAGCGGCTGCAATGTGCTATGCTTCCAGGGGGCCCCATCTGGGTCAGCCCCTGGGCAGCACCTTGCAACAACCACATCTAGAGGTGACCAACCCACGGCTCGGTCCTCATCCCCCAGGAAAGGGCAGAGACTCT